CAGCTGGACTCTTTCGGCCACGGCAGTGACTCGAATGTCACCAGCAGTCGGCAAAATGAGGTCTTGCTTTCCTGGAGTCTCCTTGGAGCCTACAGTTAATGGAGCAGTGACCTGTTTGCACCAGGGAAAAGCGGCAAATGCAGCCTAAGACAGGCAATAAGCGGGTTACAAGAAGGTTATTTCTACACAGTCACTTCTTGATTAAAATGCAAACACATCACACCGATTATGGAACTGATTAGCGACTCCTTTGCATATCAAAGGGGCTGCAGTGAAGAAGCTATTGAGAAAGAGGTCAACAGTTCTCCACTCCAAGGCAATATGAAAGAAGATGTACTGGTCAGTAATGCAGAGATAATGCCTTTGTGAAACCGGCTTTGTTCCAGGCAGAGCGATGGCATTATGAAAGAGCAATGGGGCAAACCCCATGAAAATCTCAAATCTAAAGCAGATGAATTATTTGAAAGGGAGGACAAGATCCAGCGGCTGAAAAACAGAGTTAGAAAAATCCCAGTGAGAAATAAGACAACTTGTTGGCAGATAATGCAGCCAATGAACCACCAGAAGAGCTCTGCAAGGAAGTTCAGCGTCAAATAATGTCTTTGATCTGAGACCCGCTGACGGACTTGGAAGACCAGGGTTTGGTATTCCCTTCTTGGGATCAACGGGGACACACCAACTCGCTGCTGCCAGGGCTGGAGGCTATTTGAAAGCAGTACTTAATGGTTCACGTTCCCTTAACAAGCTCTCCTGCCTCTACCAAGACCCACAGCGGAACAAGACGACAATTTTGTTAACACCTAGCATGAGATTTTTACGAGCTCCAGTCCTTCCGCTCACCTCTTTCTCCCCAAAACCGACGCGTTCAACTCGCTGCCACCAGCAGCTCCGACAACTGCTAAAGGGAGACTGGAGGAGGTTTTTCCCTAAACGTGGCAGCCTGTTTACTGCGAAAACTTGATGCACAACGATCACGCACGGCTTTTCCTGTGTACGCTCCGCTTCCTGTTTGTTGGAGTCTTTAACACAAGAACCACGAAACTTGTGACAGTAAATCCATCAGCACTCAGGAGTGTAATTAATAACTGAGCCAGTTTCTCCCAGTTGACTGAGCAAAAAGTCCCAGCTGACTGACCTTTTAGTCAAAAAGTTGCTTTCCAGTGGTTTGAGAGAGGCACTGGGGCTGCTGGATAAAAATGGCTCTGGAAAGTCTTCTTCTGGTACTTGTGTTTGCTTGGATATGTCACCTTCACCAAACCTGAGCTCCACCACGCTTGCCAACTCGTGATGGCTCCTTCCCAGGCCTGATGCCACTGGGGAAAGATCTGGGTGAGAGCGACATGGACCCCAGCAAACCCGCACTGGTAGCCTGGAGCCCATTTTCAAGCCCAACCGAAGGTCCTGGCCATGCCAAGCTCACATAGTTGCACGGGTCCGATGCTGGGAACGTTCTGTCCAGACCTGGACAGGACCCAAAACACACACGGGGACTGACGAGTACTTTGAAGGAATATAAATACACTCCAAATGGCAAAGGACAGTTTCCAGACCTTCAGACCTAGTTATTCCAGTTACCACCCTGTTTTTCTCCTGCAGCTGAAATCCAACATGATCTTTTTCTCTTTTTTTTTGTCCACACCATTTCATGAGCCCCAAATAAATTTGTTTCCATCACACAATAAATAACTGGTCTCTCCCACAAGTCCAGCAGTTCACGAGAGCATTGCCGCCTCCGTGGCACCAGGGAAGCCGACCCCGCAGCAGCTTTAGGAAGATCCCCGAATGCTCGCCAAGTTGACCCTGCGAGCCAGGTGTAAATCAGCCTTTACAGAAGGGCCTGAGCAACGTGTCCGCTTCGCCCAGGTCCCTGCACTACAGGCTCTTCCTCGGCTCCTCCACACCAGGAACAGATCCCAGTTATCCTGGGGAGACCCCAAACCTTCCCCACCTGTAAAAGAACCAGCTCGCTTTTCCCAGTGCAGGAAGAAAAGCTCAATGGGAAGCAGGACAGCGCTGTGTAATTTGGGGGCCTGGCAAACACAAGTCAGAAAGTTTCCCAGGTGCTGGAAGGATGAGTCCTGGTGGTGCTCAGGCACGAGGCAAGCTTAGTGATCCCGCTCCACAACCTGTGGCTGCCCTGCCCAAGCACAGCCGGGGTGAGGTGGGCAGGGAAACCCCAGCTGGGGGGTGGTTTCTGCTTAGAGCGAGCCCCCTCCCCGCACAGGGACGGACAAGGGGAGCAGCATGTGCCACCCTGCCTGCACCCCGCGGGGGGCCGAGCCCATAACCCACCCCCTGGAGCCCCCCTGGCCCAAGCCCCAGGCACCTACCTCCTCCAACTCATCCTTGGCATCCAGAAAAGTGGAGACCAGCAACTTCCCTCCTCCTCCTCCTGCTGTTCCCCCCTTCCCCTTCTGCATCTCCATGGCT